TAGGACGTAACTCTTGGATGATTCTAAGTTTATCGTACTTATTGAGGTCCGGTTCAGCGCTGGGCAGTGTTTTCAGGGAATCAGGTTAACAAGTCACTGCTTAGAGCTGTTACTTTTCTGTTGATAAAATACCATGACTGGAAGCCACTTAATGAAGAAAGAGTTTGTATTGGTTTATTGTTCCAAGGACAAGTCCATAACGGCAGTCTGAGCAGGAAGCTGAGAGATCTAGTTTTGGCCACACACAGGAAGGAGAAAGAGAACTGGAAGTGGAGTAAGGCTCTAAACCCCGATCCCAGTTGCGTACTTCCTCCAGCAAGGTTCTGTATCCGAATGGTTCCATAACCTTCCTAAAAGGCGCTACCAGGTGGGGACCAAGTATCCCTTGAGCCTATGGGGGATGTTTCTCAATTGAGCCACCTCACTGCTGTCATCCTGTGATGGTCTACAGTGCAATAGACTGTGCAAACCAAGAGTCCGGTGGTGCTGATGTTGCAGAGATGATGGTGGGGGTAAGAGGACAGGCACTGAGGATAGCTGGGATTTCTATTTCAGACAGACAGAGTCAGGACTGCCTCTCTGAGGAAGTATGATTTTGAGATCTACACAGAGGGCATCAAGATATGTCTCCAGAAAAAAATTGTATCACTACAACTCTTGACTCCTGCCCTGGGGGGTTTTATTTGTGTTTTTCTCCAAAACTTCAGAAGTAAAAGAAAATTTATTTAAGAGAATTACATCCAGCCTGGTCTACAGAGCAAGTTCCAGGACAGCCAGGGCTGTTACACAGAGAAACCCTGTCTCCAAAAAAAAGAATTATTTCTAAGACTCTGATCACTCGTGGAAAGAATTCAGGCCCCTGAGCCCAGGAGCCCCATTAGAATCCAGCCACACCCACCATCTCCCTAAGAGGATCCCTCTACTTATTTGTAAACTGAGAGGTTGGATAAGATCATCATGTCATTCCACAGACCTGGGTGAATGGAAAGGAAAGCCAAGGCAGGCAGACCCCGATTAAAAATTGTAGTTGTTTAAAAGGAGTATTGCTTTCTAAGATTAAGGTAACCCAGAAGAGTCTGTTAGTCCATCCACCTGACCATTTTGTCCAGTCGGCAGAAACCTTTATAAATGAGAGGATTCAGTGAGGCAGCCGAGGAGCACCACAGCATTGGGGTTTTCTAGGAAGCCCCGGCCTTGCAATGTGCCAACCCCACGCTTGGAGCTAAAATGGTTTGTTGTGTTCACGCTACACTTTGTTTTCACCTTTGACATTTGATCTGGCTAAAAGGCTGAGAAATGATCACTCTATTTTTGCATTAAACACACACACACACACACACACACACACACACACACACACACACACACGTTAAGCCTTGTTTTTTTTTTTTTTTTGGTTTTTCGAGACAGGGTTTCTCTGTGTAGCTTTGCGCCTTTTCCTGGAACTCACTTGGTAGCCCAGGCTGGCCTCAAACTCACAGAGATCCACCTGGCTCTGCCTCCCGAGTGCTGGGATTAAAGGCGTGCGCCACCACCGCCCGGCTACGCTAAGCCTTGTTTTATGGAAAGACAGCTGAGTTTGGGACATGTGTGCTGCTGTTCTGTAGTGTATGAGATGGACAGCTGTTATTCAAGGCCTACCTGGTTGTAAGGCAACATCAAAGGACCAATCAAGCAATGAGTGCATCATTTAAAAACACATGATAACAATGATGCCCCTTTGTAGAGCTCTGAAACTCCAGTTCATAGAGGTAGTCTACTTTTTAGGACTCTTGATATGAAAACTAATCTTCCCCTGGCTTTCCTTAGGTTCTTCCTGGGTCAATGTCCTGCTCAGGAGAGAGGGCAGTGAATGCTGCCCAGTTTGCTCCTCAGAGAGGAGATTGTCCTTTCTCCTGGGAGCGTGTGGAAGGGCTCAGGTCAAGAAGCCACAGGAAGTTAGTGCAGAGAAGTGAGGCATCTTGGGCAAAGAGCTGAGTGCCTAGTCATCCACGGCGCAGAAAGCTGTGGTACTTCGGGCAGAACAAACTGGAGCTCCAGAAATCCGTGGGATGAAATGAAGCTGGCATGACTCTAGACCTGACCCAGAAAGAGTTTAGAGCTAGGGCTGACTGCGTGTCCTTTATCCTCAGCCTCTCTCACTCCCGTCTCCCACCCAGGGATAGCACCCTTTGGGTTCCCCTGGTGTCCTGGCATTCATTCCTGGAGCTGTCTCCCAAGTCTGAGTTTCCACTTGATCCCAGGAGGCTCCTGAGTGGGGATGAGTTCTCAGGATGGCCAAGATGCCTGTCTGGGCAGACATCTCTACAAACACTGGGGACTCTGGTCCATGCTTTTGATGGTACAGCAAAATTCACTATAAACTTCTGTTCTAGAATAGTCCACCATTTTCCTGTACTATCTTTCCTAACAGACTAGCAAACCATTGTCATAGATAAGATTTACCTCATCCCTCTATATGATTATAAGAAATTGTATCTTTTCTGTATTTCTAAGTCTGCTCAAATGTTTTTATAGTTTTGTATTTTAATGTGACAGGGTTTTTGTTGTTTTGGTGCCGAGGACTGAACCCAGGGCCTTGCGCACCCTGGGCAAGCGCTCTACCACTGAGCTGTACCTGTAGCCTCACGTACATAGTTTTTTTTTACATGATCATAGTAATGCCTGTGCTTAGCATTTCAAGAACAAATGTGAAATTAACGTGCATTTTAGCATTAACTGAAAGCAAATTTGCTATGTATTTTTATTTGATCTTGACTTAAAAATAAAGCTGGTATGGAGGCAGAATGCAAGATGAGTACTCAATTTTAGTAAAAATAAGAGTTTTTAAAAAACCAATTAAAAGATAAGTAGATGGGGATTTAATCTCTTCAACTTGAAGTCCCTTAGCCTGGATCCCTCGTTAGACAGGCTTCATTAAAAACAAGCTGTAAACATTTTCAATAATTAAACATGAATACATGATCCAGGATAAGACCTGGCCCTTAGGCCATGCACATTTAAATATGCAAAATTACATGTGTGCTCTTGTGAATTCCTTCTTCCAGGGAAACACGTCTGTGTAATTATCTTGTCCCTACATCTCTACCATGGATCACATTAAAAACACTTCTTCCCATGAACTGTGAAGTATTAATTGATAAGCCACAGGGAGCTTATACGATAGCATATCCTCACCAGTTAATAATGCTGTAGGCTCACTTATGAGGACTGAATTATTCATCGGAATCTTCGCATAAAGTCCCTGCGAGCTAAGAGTGGAGAGAGGCTAGGGAGCCCGTGACACCGCTTCCTTTAAACTTTATGGAAGAACCAACGGATGGAGTCGAGCCCCTGTACTTCCCGTGCAGTGGCAGTTATGCATTCTGCAGCCCCTCCCTTCTGGACATGTGACTCTTCATGAATAGCTAAGCATTTTAAATTAAGCTGTAGAGCTGTGAGGTAGGGAAAACATGAGTTTGAGACCCGGAAACGACATTTGTCACTACAGTGCCCCTCCCCACTTCCGCATCTATGGTCTCCACCCACCACAGATCTGAAATATTGGGAAGAAAGAACTGCAACCGACCTGAGCGTGCATAGACTTTTTCCTTACTTCCTAACACCACAGCATTGCAGTTCACACACAGACTGTACTAGGTAGTTCAAGTATTCTAGAATACGGTTTCAAATACCTGGGAGGTGTGTGGAGGCAACATGCAAAAACTACCTCTTTTCCTACCGAGGCCTGGGACAGATCCCCACAGACACTGGATGCCTCCTGTCTTCTGTCAAGGGAATTTACTCTTCTAGGGTCATTTCTATAAATTCTACATAGAGAGTTCGGACTGGTGGAGGGCTAAGACTTCTTCCAGTATGACAAGGACTAAGCTAGTATGTGTTGACTACTAGAAATAATAGGATTTGTGGCACTGAGGTATATAATGCACAGTCCTTCCCTTCCCGCAACCCCTCTGGCTGCCCTATGAATTTTCACTACTCAGGAAAGTTGTGGTACGTGAGTAGAACACTTGTGTGCTGGAGAGGGAGGCCACACAGTTGACATGGGCGACTGGCCTCACCTCAGGCGTGCTGAAGAGAAGAGCTGTTGACTGGTACAACGTATCCACTTGGAATGCCTTGACGTGATTAGCTATTTTAGGTTATATTTTTAAAGCATTATTCTGTACTTGGTGTTAAAAGTAGAATTAACCATTAATTAAAGTGTTCCTCTTCAGAAGTCTTATTATAACAGATTTTATATAGCACCATCTAATCCTTCACATCTCTTCCCCCTGCCTTCTCTCTCCTCCCTAAATGGGAAGTGGTGGTGGTGGTGACGTTGCATGTCTGCAGTGACTAGCTTCCCGTCACCGTCAGAACTCAGTCTTCTATTTCACTTTACAAAGGATGGGGACAAGTTAGCGGAGCTGAGCCTGGCTGAGGACGGATTGTTTTCTTCTCTTTATCAGGCTCTTCCTTCCGTTCCTGCTGCTAAGGGAGCAGACTGGTTAGAACGGGAAAGGATGCGATGCGATGCGGAGGTGGCTGAAGACAGGTGTGAAATCTGAGGGCCTTGCATTTCTCACTTCACAATTCAGGGCCTCCGAAGACACTAGGCCATCCCAGAACCCTCCTCCAAGACCACGGTAAGTTGGAGCAGAGCCTTCAACTTGAATTCGCAGCGAGAGGGGCATCTGTAGGCGTGCGATGGCGCATAGGGGTGGGCGGAAGTCAGTACTGGCCAGCCTTTCCACCTGGGCTACCAGGAGCTGGCTCACACCAGCACAGAGAAGGAGCCGTGCGCAACTGGCTGGCAATGGAGTTGTTGTTTCATGTGAGGAAAGAGGAGAGGGGGAGCAGACAGCAAAGAGTGCTGCTGCTCTGGAAGCTTGGGGAAGGTTTGGTTCCGTGTGAGAGGAGCTATGGAACCATGCGCAGTCAAGTGTCCCAGTGTCCCCGGCCCAGCACAGCAAATTTTATGACCTAGTGAAAGACAGGTCCAAGAGCCGTCCAATGAGTATGTTTTTAAAAAATCCATTATTTATAGAAAGAAATAGGTATTGGCAAAATGCTGTCCAAACAAATACAATGACTTCATTTAGAATTGAGTATATTACAATCTAAATTAAAACACAAGGGATCAATTCAGAAATCACACACAGATCCAAAACCTTCAACATTACACACCGTTCTTCTCAAATGGGGGTCATTTAAATACAGTCTAGCCTGGCCTACAACAGTGCTCGCTGGACTTTACACTTGTGCTATCTCAGGCTGCTGCAGACACACATGCTTCGCGCGGCTCTCATTTAATCTTTAACAAAGCGCCAAATCATAACGGAATTACACTTTTCCCATGACAGTTAATGCAACCCCACCAGGCATTTAGTCCCCTTGCTGCTGTGACTGACGCTGTACTCACAGAAATAAGGGCAAGTGGGGATGCGGCAGTGCCTGTGCCCAAAGACAGCAAAAGGCTTCCAACCTGATTAAAAATAAGGAGTCGTATAAGAAATGGCTTTATTAGAAAAACATGTAGTGTACATGTGAATAACTTCTATCACTGGTATACAGCTCAGCTATTTTGTAATTAAAATCTGATACAGGGTTCAAACGTCTTTAGAAGTTAGTGGCGTTTCTCCTATTCCTCTGTCGTGTGCCTGGGAGGAGCCATCTTCAGGGGACCCATACCTTTGCTTCTTCTCGGAACTCAGCGCATCAGCAGGTTAGCACTGGTACAACACACACAAGGGGTTACTCACACGGGCAGTGCATCATCCCGTGTGAGGTCACACCTCTACTCCAACCAGAGTTTAGCACAGGTGTGCTGTCCATGGCGTTTTCCAATCCCCACACACTCAAGTTCTGCATTATTATTACCTAGTAGTCATTAAATTAACGCGAGATTCTGTAACCTAACAAGACCTCTGGGAGAAGTGTCTTCTCCTCGTCTCCATGAGCTGTGCAATTCCAAGCCAGCGTGCGGTGCTGACATCCAGTCCCTTTGAAGTCCCGAGAGTCGACGGCATTAAACCGAGACGACCACATCAAGGTACAGTCTGTCATAGGATTCCCTGAAGCACAGAATGAGGAGAAGACTGAGCAGACACGACCCCGGAAGGCACCAGTTGAACCAAGACAACTCTGTAAGTTCAGAAAACAAAAAACAACAGTTTTAAGTATTTTTGCATCACCTGCGTCCGCTCTGCATTCCAAAAGACGTATAACAAAGGCACCGGAAGTCACTTCACTACACGTTGACAGCCTGGAGGCTAATATGTGTGTAATATATTACCGGACTTCCATGTGGAATATTTAATCAATGTTGTTAACAACTTTTCATCAATTTAATACACCTTGACTTTGGTTGCAAAATCAATCTATGAGTTGAAAGGGGAAAAAATTGATCACTCTAAGTGTTAGCTTGTTAATTGTTTTTTAAGTGCCCTCTATCACCGCCATTTTTCTGTCTGTTTAGAAATACCTGGTGGGTTTAGGTAAAGAGAAAAATTGCCTCATTTTATTTTATTTATATGGACACACACACACAGAGACACACATACACACAAGTGTAAGTGTGCACACAGCCAGAGGACAGAGAAAGGTGTCGGTGTCCTCTACCACACTCTGCCTCATTCCCTTGAGATAAGGCCTCTCACTGAACCTGGAGCTCATGAGGATTTTGCTTTACCAGCTCCACTGGAGGTCAGCAAACCTCGGCAATCCTCCTGTCTCTGCCCTCGACAATGCAGGAGTTACAGACGCGCGTGACCACGCCAAGCGTTTCACACGGCTGCTGAGAATCAAGTCGGGTCCTCGTGTTTGCACAGCCGTCCGCCTGAGCTCTCACCCCACCTCCTCAACTGACTTTGAAGACAACGGTTTTGTAGTTCTTGATGGAAATATGTACTTCCCAACAAAAATATTAAAGAGTAACCACTGCAAAATGAATTAGAATAAATGGAAAATAAGGTAAGACATTAAAGAATTAATCATCTCTACTCTGAGAGAGACCACTGTACTTATCTTTTCTAGATTTTTCCCACAGTCACGGACTATGCCAATCATTGGGAAACCTGCAAAAGCCATTCAAGCAGGTGATTTGACTCTTATCTGATTGAACGGCATCAAGGATCACCTTAAAGAAATACTTTCGTGAACGAGGACTAACAGGACATTCCCAGGCATTTGCTGTCACTCAACTGTGACTGCCCCTGGCTGTCCCTCCCTCTGCCCCCACCCTACCTGGCCACCAATCCCAGGCTTGGGAGAGAGCATCTTCTTGGCATAAAGAACTTGTCACTGGTGGTTGGGGACAACTTCTCTAGTCTAATATCACCAGTTCCAGTGGAAAAAAATGAGTGTGATTTTTTTTCCTTCTTCCCTCCTCTCCACAGGCTTACACTCTCCCTTTGTCTTCCTTAAAGCGCTATGCTGCCTCGGGCTCAGAGTCCTCCTAGAAGCCCTCACACCACAGCTTTAGTTTACCCACAACTCTCAGAGCCTGAGAGAGCAACCCGTGCTGGGCGGCATCAGGAAACCGGCGGGTAAAGCAGGTGCTACGGTGACTTTACTGTGCTCACAAGGCGGCTTCCTCATCTCTCAACGACTGCAGTCAAAGACCGACTCGCTGTCCACAGTGGAGGCAGATGTGGACTCCTCCATCGCTCTCTGCCAAGCTGTCTTCTGCGCTCGACCTGGATTTCAGGGAACTAAACACTGAGAGAAAGCGGGCCCCCACCATCCTGCCTTCACTCTCACGGTCTGCTTTTAGATTTAACATATATAAATATATTTTATATTTAAGCTGGTGATAATTTTACTAGGCAAGATGAAGCAGTTAGAGGAGGGACTGAACATCGGAGCACAGGCTGGACTAACAGCGAGCTCTCGGAATCGAAGGCCACACTGTAGGCACCAGATAAAAGGAAGCCGACACCCGACCATGTGGTTCACAAGAGCATCTTCTAAATCTTAGTGACTTTAAATCATGGGAAGTGAAAACAACACATGCCATGACTGACTTGGCCTTGGCTCCCTCTGAGGCATGGAATTTGTCCAATACTGCCAAAGTTGAACATTTATTTCATTAGAGGGTGGAATTATTCCTTCTGTCTAGGTTCAGATGTCTGTTTCATTACTGTGTCTCTCCGAAAAGTCAAATTCACTTTAAGAAAATTCACTTGGTTCAACAAACAGCAAGTGTTCTTTAAAAACAAGAAAGCAAGAGATCAGAGGCAGGGGAGTACCTGCATCTCCCTGCTGAAGACTATTCATGGAAACCACAGCTGGGGGTGTGGAGCAGGGAGAGACCCCCTTAAACATTTAATCTGTCTAAGTTGCCGAGTTAACAAACCACTGGCCTTCTGTACTTGGTATCATAGAATACAAGTGAATGGTGCCCAGTCCACCAAGACGTTCGCATTCTTAACTCTTTTGTTTGGCTGAGCTTTTCCTGCGATCCTTCCCAGTCCTCCACTGGAACAAACAGAAATCCATACCGGAAGGCAGAACTACACAAGACACCCCTGCATGAGCTGCTTGCCAATGTCTACCACACTGCAGCCTCATCCTCAAAACCAATCTTCAGCTCTGCATGGTCTCTGCACAGCACCTCTGCACTGGCCTGTGCAGCACGTCAACCCTGCACAGCACCTCTGCACTGGCCCTGTGCAGCACGCCAACCCTGCACAGCACCTCTGCACTGGCCCTGTACAGCATGTCAACCCTGCACAGCACCTCTGCACTGGCTGTGTACCGTATGCCAACCCTGCACAGCACCTCTGCACTGGCCCTGTACAGCATGTCAACCCTGCACAGCACCTCTGCACTGGCTGTGTACAGTACGCCAACCCTGCACAGGTCCTCTGCACTGGCTGTGTACAGCACGTCAACCCTGCACAGGTCCTCTGCACTGGCCCTGTGCAGCACACCAACCCTGCACAGGTCCTCTGCACTGGCCCTATGCAGCACACCAACCCTGCACAGCACCTCTGCACTGGTCATGTGCAGCACGCCAACCCTACACAGCACCTCTGCACTGGCTGTGTGCAGCACGCCAAACCTGCACAGCACCTCTGCACTGGCTGTGTGCAGCACGCCAAACCTGCACAGCACCTCTGCACTGGCTGTGTGCAGCACGCCAAACCTACACAGCACCTCTGCACTGGCCCTGTGCAGCAGGCCAACCCTGCACAGCACCTCTGCACTGGCCCTGTGCAGCAGGTCAACCCTGCATAGCACCTCGGCACTGGCCCTGCACAGCACGTCAACCCTGCACAGCACCTCTGCACTGGTCATGCACAGCACATCAACCCTGCACAACACCTCTGCACTGGCCCTGTGCAGCAGGCCAACCCTGCACAGCACCTCTGCACTGGCCCTGTGCAGCACGTCAAACCTGCACAGCACCTCTGCACTGGCCCTGTGCAGCATGCCAACCCTGCACAGCACCTCTGCACTGGCCGTGTGCAGCAGGCCAACCCTGCACAGCACCTCTGCACTGGCCATGCACAGCACGCCAACCCTGCACAGCACCTCTGCACTGGCCGTGTGCAGCACGCCAACCCTGCACAGCACCTCGGCACTGTTTGCTCATCCTCTCTCCTCCTTCCAAACCTGCTGACCCTTCCTTCCTCTCTTAGTGTCTACACTTTGCCTACAGTTTGATCACCTACAGCTACCATCTCCAGAACCTCCAGAGGCATCCGGTATTTAACAAAACTGTCTCCATTCTCCCGGTGAGCAGCCAGCTGGCACCCCAGATGTTGGATCAATGGCCTGCCCCCTCCAATCCACAGGGATTACCCCCACAGACCCCACACTACAGCACTTTCCTGAGGCGGAACACCACTCCTCACCAGTCCATATCTGCTAGACCTCCCTTTGTTCTCCCAGTAAGCATAAGCCAACGTGCCCATCTCAGCTAGGTCCCGGAACCTGCTGAGTGACTGACACTGTACCGTCAAATTCAATCAGCCACTTCAAAATCTTTATGCATTCAGACAAAACTCACTGCCGAGCTTAGAAACAAAAACTAACAGAGAAAACAAACTTCAGACTAAAAGAGAATGCGTTTCAGAGTCCATGGAAGACAGCAGCATCCCAAATTGATTTTTTTTCCTGTGATGTTATTAGAATACGGCATCACCGCACTGTCACAACTCATTGAGGGTCTCAGAGCAAACATCCCCTTACAGTAGGGAAGAATAACTTCCTTCTCAGAAACTGACCTTGACACCCCCATGTCAGAAAACTGCTAAAACATTTCTGACATGGTTCCATGCACCAAGGCACCACTGAAAGGGTCTATGGCGCAGAGCTCCACACAAGCCAGTGGCCTTGATCCGGAAGCAACCAGAGGTGGAACCCATCCTTAGGCAAGGCATTCTGATCCAATGTGTTCATGTGGGAGAGAGTTGCACAGCCTTGAAAAATTACTCGATGCAGTTGCCAGACAGCTCAGTGTAGGTGGCAAAGAACCTTGTCAAGGAAGCAGCGTACTTCCTTGAGAGGAACGCTAAAAACCACAGCTCTTTACAATGCTCAAAACCCAGGCTTCAGCCAGGCATGGGGACGCTTATCTGTCGGTGTTGGTACTTGGGAGGGAGATCAGGAGGACGACTAGGGTCCTGGAGTCTGAGACTAAGTCTGGGCAATACAGTGAAATTGTTATGTCAAAATGAATGAATGAATGAATGAAACCCAGGCTTTCTTAAAAAAAACAGTGAACTCAGGACTTACAAGAGGACAATGACAGTTGAACCTTCACATCTACTTCCCAGATGATTTTGCATCTTAAAGTTTCTGGATTTCCATTTCTATACTTGCTTTATGGAGGCTCATCAAGTCTATTATATAAAATGTTTAGGACACTGGGCCGCAGCACTAGGGGTGATCGGAGGAAACCGTTTCATAGAATTTGTAGATTTTCAGCTTATCCTAAAGTCCCAAAGCACGCAGCACTCTGCTGCAGGATTTACAGGTAGGGTCAGCTAACTGTATGTGAAGGATTTCAATGAGGGTCACACTAAGTAACCTGTGCTCGGGCTCTTCACATACTCACAGGGCTCACTCCTCTAGGACAGAAGCGCTCATTCACACTGTAGCATCAATGAGTCAGTTACCAAGAAAGAACAACACAGGCCTCTGGGGTGTGCACACTGTGCTCTCTCACACCTACCCACACATCCACGACCCACACACCAGCATTTCCTCAAAGTTTCTGTCTGGAAATCATTTTGGCGGATTTAAATTAATTAGTACAAACGTTTCATTTGCTCACAGCAGCCAAGAGGTTAGGCAGAAACCCTCACCAGCTGTTCAGATATGTGTAAGAACACATGTCAGCAAATGACTAACAAAGGGACGGTGTTTTCCTCCCGGTCAGATACATTCCTGGTAGGACAGGGGTCAGCAGGAACCATCACTAGAGCAGGGGTCAGCAGGGACCATCACTAGGACAGGGGTCAGCAGGGACCATCACTAGAGCAGGGGTCAGCAGGTACCATCACTAGGACAGGGGTCAGCAGGAACCATCACTAGGACAGGGGTCAGCAGGAACCATCACTAGGACAGGGGTTAGCAGGGACCATCACTAGGACAGGGGTCAGCAGGGACCATCACTAGGACAGGGGTTAGCAGGGACCATCACTAGGACAGGGGTTAGCAGGTACCATCACTAGGAAAGGGGTTAGCAGGAACCATCACTAGGACAGGGGTCAACAGGAACCATCACTAGGACAGGGGTCAGCAGGGACCATCACTAGGACAGGGGTTAGCAGGTACCATCACTAGGACAGGGGTTAGCAGGAACCATCACTAGGACAGGGGTCATCAGGGACCATCACTAGGACAGGGGTCATCAGGGACCATCACTAGGACAGGGGTCAGCAGGGACCATCACTAGGACAGGGGTCAGCAGGGACCATCACTAGGACAGGGGTCAGCAGGGACCATCACTAGGACAGGGGTCAGCAGGGACCACCACTAGGACAGGGGTCAGCAGGGACCATCACTAGGACAGGGGTCAGCAGGAACCATCACTAGGACAGGGGTTAGCAGGAACCATCACTAGGACAGGGGTCATCAGGGACCATCACTAGGACAGGGGTCATCAGGGACCATCACTAGGACAGGGGTCAGCAGGGACCATCACTAGGACAGGGGTCAGCAGGGACCATCACTAGGACAGGGGTCAGCAGGGACCATCACTAGGACAGGGGTCAGCAGGGACCACCACTAGGACAGGGGTCAGCAGGGACCATCACTAGGACAGGGGTCAGCAGGAACCATCACTAGGACAGGGGTCAGCAGGAACCATCACTAGGACAGGGGTTAGCAGGTACTATCACTAGGAAAGGGGTTAGCAGGAACCATCACTAGGACAGGGGTCAACAGGAACCATCACTAGGACAGGGGTCAGCAGGGACCATCACTAGGACAGGGGTCAGCAGGAACCATCACTAGGACAGGGGTCAGCAGGTACCATCACTAGGAAAGGGGTTAGCAGGGACCATCACTAGAGCAATGGTTAGCAGAAATGGTGCTCCGTGTTTTTCTGGTCACTTATAAACAGGTGGCATGAGAGTTCCAGATAAATCGTGCCAGGTGACAATTCCTGTACATATATCAAAATCTCCTCCTTGACCTAGAACAGTGATGGACACTAAACACTCAGCACTCTTCTGTAGTAAGACAGTACTGAGGTATAAACATGGACTGCAGTAGACAGTGCTGGGGTGTGAACATGGACTGCAGTGAGGCAGTGCTGAGGTGAGAACATGGACTGTAGTAGACAGTGCTGAGGTGTGAACATGGACTGCAGTGAGGCAGTGCTGAGGTGAGAACATGGACTGTAGTAGACAGTGCTGAGGTGTGAACATGGACTGCAGTGAGGCAGTGCTGAGGTGAGAACATGGACTGTAGTAGACAGTGCTGAGGTGTGAACATGGACTGCAGTGAGGCAGTGCTGAGGTGTGAACAAGGACTGCAGTAGACAGTGCTGAGGTGTGAACATGGATTGCAGTAGACAGTGCTGAGGTGTGAACATGGACTGCAGTGAGGCAGTGCTGAGGTGTGAACAAGGACTGCAGTAGACAGTGCTGAGGTGTGAACATGGACTGCAGTGAGGCAGTGCTGAGATGTGAACAAGGACTGCAGTAGACAGTGCTGAGGTGTGAACATGGACTGCAGTGAGGCAGTGCTGAGGTGTGAACAAGGACTGCAGTAGACAGTGCTGAGGTGTGAACATGGACTGCAGTAGACAGTGCTGAGGTGTGAACATGGACTGCAGTAGACAGTGCTGAGGTGAGAACATGAACTGCAGTAGACAGTGCTGAGGTGAGAACATGGACTGCAGTAGACAGTGATGAGGTGTGTGAACATGGACTGCAGTGAGGCAGTGTTGAGGTGTGTGAATATGGACTGCAGTAGACAGTGCTGAGGTGTGAGAACATGGCCTGCAGTAGGCAGTGCTGAGGTGAGAACATGGACTGCAGTGAGGCAGTGCTGAGGTGAGAACATGGACTGCAGTAGACAGTGCTGAGGTGTGAACATGGACTGCAATGAGGCAGTGCTGAGGTGTGAGAACATGGACTGCAGTAGACAGTGCTGAAGTGTGAACATGGACTGCAGTAGACAGTGCTGAGGTGTGAGAACACGGACTGCATGCAGTAGACAGTGCAGAGGTGTGAGAACATGACTGAGCCTTCAAGGGCCATGTACTGGGAACATAGCCCCAGTGTGTGTTGGACTTTGAGAGGTGGGATCTGGTGGGAAGTTATAACTGCCCGTCCTTTGTCCTTGTCTTATCTTGTCATCTTGCCCTGTGATCTCTCTCCCCATGCCCTATGAAATCTCATCAAAGTGATACATCGTCATGCACGGACCCTCCAAAACAATGAGTCAAATAAAACTTTTCTAAACCAAGTATCCAGCCTCCAGTAGTAGTGGGAAACTGAGGACAAGAAGCAGTTTTTAGAGGGTTGCTGTTATCGGGGCCTTCTCTGCTTCACACTGATCAATATGTATCTGTTACAGACTAGAGACCAAGAAAACAGATTCCCTGGGGAATAACACCATGCGACATCAACTGCTGCTTTTAAACACCCGAGGAAAAACTCTATTTCTAGTTGACAGGAAAAACCATGTTCTGCTAGGCTGCACAGACCACTTAGTAAACCCGGGCCCGTCAGCTGGAAAATTGTCTCTGTCATGCTAGGGGTCCATGCTAGCTCGGAGGCTTTGCCAAGCAAAGAGGTGACAGCCCCTTCCTTTCCACTGTGACACACTGAAGTGAGTCGAAGCTGTAACACAGCAGTTGCAAGGCTCTGTGTAGAAAGTAAATGTCCTTCCTGGTGTTCTTCTGACTGGAAATGGAAGAGAAGCCTGCGGCTACCCAGAGTTCCTCCCCTTGACAGTATACTGAGCACAAACCAGACGTGGTGTGCCCAAACTTTTATACGTGACACTGACTGACAGCGACCATCTAGTTTGTCGTTAATCACATTATGAAAATCATTTTCCCAATGATTTTCCAGTTAGGAGAAGTTCAGCTGTTGTGATTTTGCTTCGTTGCTTTGAAAATGTTGAAAATGTATTTTTTGGCCGTAGAGGTTAACACGGTTATTATTTCAATTACAGGCTTGTCAGGAAGTTCCCTACAAACAACATGGCCTCCTGGAGTCTCTTGTCTTAGAGAACAGCTCAGCTTATTGACTTCCTCTCATTTGTCCCCACGGCTTTGAGCCACATCCACACCCTTGACACTAATTTACACTCTGTGCTCAGAGAGCGGAGTCTGCATGTATTTTAAAAGTAGTATTACCGTGACTTTCAATGTGAACTCGAGGGTTGGAATCACCTGGAAGGGGGTGGGCTGGGAAGACATGAAAATAAATGACAGTCCTCCCGGCCCAGGTTAATTCAAGCACTCTGGGGATGGGGTGCCCGTGGGCACACTTAAAACACAAACAAACCCAACTGTGGTTATCATTTTTCTGGCATGTGAATGCTTCATAAAGTAACAGGCTTTAGTGAGAATTCTCCACGCAGGTCCCCTATCCATCAGTTCCACAAACCTGTCTCATAACACGGTTAGGTAGCAAATAAAAAAATCCAATTCTTACCTGTATGGTAAAAGGTGAGAAAAAATAAAAGCACTCCCATGAACATATTACTTAAGAAAGTGACGACACCACAGGTAATTCCTTCTGGAACGGGGTACACTGTTTCCACAAAGAGCTCAAAAAATATAGGAACGCTGCTGTTCAAGAACACACCCAGGAGGATGCAGGAGGCGTAGAGTGTCACTGAAATAAAAACACAGATCTTTAGATCACGGGAGGCGGCAGGGGCGAGCCGGGGCAGGGGGGCTGTGGAGCTGCTTCGGTGGCTGATGGAAGTCTGACAGGCCACCACACAGCCGCCGTCTCCTCGCTCGGCTTTTCTGCGGTAAGAACAGGTTCCACTGCTGAATGAGTACCAGTTTATCTGCTTTCTCTTTCTGTTGGATTATTCCAAAGCACAAAAGCAATTTAGTATTAGAGTTGAATTAAAAATATTCTCGGCCAGCATGATGGCTCAGTGCACCCACCACCAAGCCTGATTCCCTGAGTTCAACCCCCAGAACCCCCACAAGGTGGGAGGAGAGAACAGGCTCCCACAAGCTGTCCTCTGACCTCTACCTGTGTGGTGTGGCACATGCACCACCCAATAAATAAATGTAATAAACAATAATAAAACTCCTGATGAAAAGACTCATAAAAAATATACATATATATACTTTTCTCTGAGTCACGGGCAAATGAGGTGAGGGAATAAAACCCAGCAAGGTAATTAACAAATCTTGTCACATTTTACAATTTTAAAGAGAACTTAAAATGCAAGAATAAATGTAAGACACATAAAATGTTATTGACAATTACTCATGCACAGACTGGTTCACAGTGGCTTCCAGGATCCACATGAGGCACTTACTGTCCTTGCAGAGAACACAGGAGAGCTAATCCTCAGCTGGGAGGGAGTTCTGTGTCAGTGTCTTTTGAAATAAGGACTCTCTCCACCCCCAAACACAGACTGAGCCAGCCCTGCTGATGCCTGCCTTGAATCGCAACACCGGGGGGTGCTGAGGCAGGAGGATTGCCTGCTGGATGCCAGTCCAGGCTACTTAGATACACTCTCAAAAATAGATAGATAGATAGATAGATAGATAGATAGACAGACAGACAGATAGACAGACAGATAGATAGATAGAAAGAATTAAAAGGTGTGGAGGGTGGTAGGATCATAGATTAGCAAGTTAGCCTACTAACGTTATTCTGTAGTGAATCCACTGGAAAAGGGTGCATTCTGATGCTTGTACAAATGCCTAGAGAAGAGCACTCCATTCTAACGTTACCACAGCTCCTGTCTGCCTACACACTTTCACTAATTCAAGTTCAAAGATGAAACAGGGCCAGTGGAGAAGAGCTTTAATATGTACCTGTATTTTAATAAAGAGATCTGCTGGCAATAATGCACAGAATACATTCTAAGTTTAAAGTTAAAGAAAAATACTTTTGTTATATTAAGAAAAAAATTGCTAGCCAGGCGGTAGTGGCTAGCACCTTTAATCCCAGCACTCCAGAGGCAGAGACAAGTGGATCTCTGTGAGTTCGAGGCCAGTCTGGTCTACAGAGTGAGTTCCAGGACAGCCAGGGCTACACACAGAGAAACCTTGTCTTGAAAAATCAAAATAAATAAATAAATAAATAAATAAATTTTTTTAACAAAGCACAGAAGCTGCAGAGGGTGGAGGCCTAACCCAAATCTCTCACACCCCACTCACAGATTTTGGCATTTTAAAGCACCAGGACTGACCACAGCCGACTCCAATCATTACCTGTCTACCGCAGGACCGCAGGGGTAAGAGGACAATGGTGTCCCTGGGTTAACTTCTCTGACTGCTCCCCCAAACTATAAAATAGTGTCTTCTAATAATGTAACTAGCTGGAAACTGCTCTGGCTTCCCTTTATTTCTGTGACATAGACAGATAGGAAGCTAGAGAGCCAAAGAATGACATAGAGCTAGCCCTACCGCAGGGGAACAGTGGCCCCCGTTCTAGTCACATGAGCAGTCTAGCTGCCCCATTAGAAACACGGCATCATTTTCAAGAGACTCTTTCTTCCTACTGTATGCATCATATCACTGTGCACGTGTGTAGGATGTCTGTGTGGGTGTGAGTGCCGTGGGGCTCGTGTAGAGGGCAGAGGACTGCTTCTTGGGAGGTGGTTCTCTCCTTCCGCCTTTACATGGGTTTGGGTTTGTCAGGTTTGCGCAGCAAGCTGAGCCATCCTGCTGCTCATAATAGTTTTATTTTTCCCCCAATGTGTGTGTGTGTGTGTGCGCACAGGTATGTGAATACACATGCCCAGGGTACCAGAGGTACTGGATTCCTCTGGAGCTGGAGTTATAGGTGTTGGGAACTCAACTCAGATCCTCTGCACTCTTAACCACTGAGTCACTTCTCCAGCCCCCCTGTACCCTCACCCCAAGAGCTTCGTAAAAATAAAGCACAACCTAAGACCCCATGCTCACTATCTATTGGCTGATGTCAATTACACGCACCTTCAGTATCCTCTACTCACATGGAACTCGTGTGACACACTGGGGATGGAATACTACTGGTAGCTTTCATCGTGTATTCTGTTTCCGATGTACAGTCACTTAATGATTGGTCAGTGGTAATCAGGGAAGACAAGACTACTGACCCAAGAACACATCAGCTAGGGTTTAAAACAAAAAAAGTACTGAAATAAATGACAAAAAATTTCCAGCTCGTAGGGACCAGCAAGTACTACTACTGAACACAGGATTGCACACTGGTGGAATTAGATGTTTCAGGAAACATGGTTAGACATAATCTTCCCATCTCAACATTTTGGCTTATGTCTGTAACCCAGGCCCATGTCTGTAACCAGGCCCATGTCTGTAACCAGGCCCATGTCTATAACCCAGGCCCATGTCTGTAACCCAGGCCCATGTCTGTAACCAGGCCCATGTCTGTAACCAGGCCCATGTCTGTAACCAGGCCCATGTCTGTAACCAGGCCCATGTCTGTAACCAGGCCCATGTCTGTAACCAGGCCCATGTCTGTAACCCAGGCCCATGTCTGTAATCCAGGCCCATGTCTGTAAACCCAGCACTCAGGAGTTGGAGACAGGGGATTTGAGTTCAAAGCCAGCCTGGACTCCAAGGAAGGTCTCCAGACAGTTTGGGCTACAGCGAGATCTTGTTTCAAAACAGAACAAATCAACTACAACAAGATAAAACAAGACAAAACAAATATTTTTGAAGGAGCTCTATCCCTACATGAGATTCTAATCAGGTCAATTAAAGTATAATGATTGAAACAATCATGATCGACATGGCAAAACAAAAATACAATGAGTAGTACATAGTGGAAGGGGACCGGGTACAGGGTCTTGAAAGGAGAGTCTGTTGATTTTTACCAAGCTTGCTACCCAGACACACCTGGGATACACCTGAAGAGCGGCATTCAGACCAGCCAGGCCTTGTCAGACAACTTCAAGGCCAAGCAGCTCTCTTAGCCCATGCTCAATAAGGAGTCTCAAAAGAACTGTCACTGGAAAGGTGTAAATTCTACTGTGGTTAAACACTATGGACGGATGGCCCCGTAGTTCATCTTGTGGTGGGTGATTTGAAATACCTAACTTAAAAAAATGTGCTTACTCTTTGATTTAGCAGTTCTGCTTCTGGGACTCCATGCTCTGTCTGTGTGGATACAGACACACACAGGACAGTCACTATGTGTGAGTCACTATGAGATGCTGTGTGTAGTATATGCAAAGACTAAAGACAAGCTAAATGGGGTTGGAGAGATGCCCAGAGACTGAGAGCCCGTGCTGTCCTTGCAAAGGACCCAAGTTTAGCTATCAGCACTCACACTTGTAATTCCAGCTCCAGGAGATCAGAGCCCCCTTCTGGACAACAGAGGCATATGCACTCACACATGCCCAAACCCACGCCCACACAAGCATATACACATCAATTAGAAAGAGAAAGCTGTGTGTCACCTTTTAACAGCATTCTAATACAAGGACCCTGGGCATGGTGACCCGTGCCTGCAACCCCAGCACTTGGTGACACAGGAAGATCTGGAACTCAGGGTCCTCCTGGGCCACACACAAGTTTAAGGCCAGCTGTCTCAACAAAATGAGACAAAAAAAAAAACCAGCAATAAGCCACCACTGACAACAACAACAACTAAAATAAACTAAACAATCTCCCAAGTTCTTGAAGCAAAGGTATTGCTATATGGTCATTAAAAACAAGGGGACATGTATATGTGAATATTGCTAGATACACACATGAAAAGCAGCTGAAAAAAGAGAGATACATACACTTTGTAAATGTCTAGAATTTTCCACAACAGAGAAGAAACTGGTGATAGAGCTGTCTCTGGAATGGGAGGCAGAGGCACAGTAGAGTGGAAATATGGCACTTCACTTTCTTTTTCTATTGTTTAAATTTTAGGGATTTTTTTGGTGGTGGTGCTTTGTTTTACTATGTGTATATCTGATCTATTGACTAAGAGGGAAATTTCCTTACAAATAAACACTGACCACCGAGAGGACTTCACTTCCTAGCGTCTGTTCGCTCCATGACTCAGAAACCCCCAGCACTGCCCGTCACCATGTACCAGGATCCTAGCATAAAAGTCCCACTTCACGTATTAGAAACGGGGCTACGTCATGTGTAGAAGAAATGGATGGTATAACTTCAAGGACCACGAGTGAAAACACAGCTGACTCAGTCTCAGTTCAAATTATTTTCACTTTGTGTGCATGTGTTTGTACGTGTGGGGTGTGTGTGTGTGTGTGTGTGTGTGTGTGTGTGTGTGTGTGTGCCTAGGGAACCAGAAGAGGATGCTGGGTCTCCTGGAGCTGGAGTTTCAGGTGGTTATGGAATGCCCCATGTGGGTGCTGGGAATGGTACCCTGGGGTCTTCTGCAACAGCAGCAGGGCCTCTTACCTCTGAGCCATCTCATCAATCTCAGTAATTGTTTCTTCCATTACCATAAAAATGATGACTAAGAGGGCTTTAAAAAATAGACAAACACCACTGGATGGATAGGCTGAAATCGTTTTCTGCTGGGGAAACTAAAGAAGGAAACAACTGACACAGGGCAGAGCTGAGCGAGCGCCTTCCTAATCAGAACAGGGGAAGACAGCTGTGAGCACAGTGATTCCACACATACGTTCCTGAGCGTTCTGGGGCATGCAGCGTGGAAGCGGACTGTTAGAAGTC